CCAGCATTATGAGCCCTTTAACACCTCTTTCAAGAGACTATTTCTGAGTAGTTATAGCATTATTTAAAGGCTACACAAAAAGGCACTAAATTCTTTCAGAGCAAGGTCTTCTGCTAGGTCAGTGAAGGAGCTGCAGGACCAGCAAGAGGACCCAAGAAGGGTCCTTGTGACAACACCCTCATGCTCAGCACTGCAGCAGCTCATCACAGGCAACAGAAACAAAAATGAAAACACATTCAGAGTACTGTGAAAAAAAGTAATATCTTCTCTTATTCTCTATTAAACACTCAAGGAAAACCTCTTACCTATAATTTCCCCCCAGCACCTCGCTCATTAAACCTACCTCAGCAAGTCCAAAGGGCAGCACAGCCTCTGCTGCTGCTTTATCGAGCCCTCGGCTCATTAAGCACTCAGGTGGGCTCCCAGGGATTTGCTGCTTCTCCTTATAAAGGGGGGTTCAAGCACCACTTCTAAGTTCTGCTTCAGGAAAAGAGGAAGGGAAGGGAAGGGAAGGGAAGGAAAATCTGTACTATTTTTACTTCTCCTTATAAAGGGGGGTTCAAGCACCACCTCTAAGTTCTGCTTCAGGAAAAGAAGGGAAGGAAAATCTGTACTATTTTTGAGCTTCTAGGGAAAAGAAGGTCAGATCCTGTTAGAAGTCAGATGCTTGTGCTTGAACTCAGAACAGTGGTGTTTTTAGGTTAAGTCTTCAAGTGCAAGGATTTTTTTTTTTTTCCCCCATCTTACATCTGTAAGGTAAGAATTGAGAAAATAAGTAAAAGCAAGTTCTAGATCAGTTATGTGGCTAAGTAAGGGCTCTGCAGAAATCCTGTAAGCCATAATGCAATGCTTCATTTAGGGCAATCATATAAGGAAGGGTAATTAATGAGCGTGTCTGGAAATCGTAAGATAGATTTTAGCAGAGGATTCAATAGAGCAGATAGATCCCCAGTAGTTCCTGAGCTGTGCTGCAGGATTTCTTCTGTCTGAGCTTGTGATATTGGAAATTGCAGCTGAAACAATGTGAAATCAGGCCTGGCTCAGCTTCTTTGTACAGGGAATTTCAGTGGGAACAACTTCTTGTGGCGTTTTCAGGCACTTCTCAAGGAAAAAAAAAAAAAGCTGAAACATAAATCCACAGAAAAAGAAGGTTAAAGGGGCCCTGTGCAGCTCTGTGCTTCTTTCCTCTGCTCTAAGCCAGAGCTGCCCTTGTTCCTGGCAGATCCTAGGATGGCACTGAAGGCTTTCTGGGATGGAGTGCTTGTCTTTCATGCTGCAGCCACTTGCAGAGTCAGATTCTCCTTCTACTTGAAGTGTTTTTTTTCCTTATATTGAATGTGAGTCTTGCCCTATTCTCCTATGGATATGGGCAGGTTGTTTGCTTTCTCACTTCCATTCATCACCTTTTTGGTAGAAAGACAGATGCTGTCTCAGCACCCTTTCCTTCTGAAGGGCTCCTGTGGGGCTCTGACACCAAAAAAATGAAGGAGGATGTTAGATGAGTTTATCTCCTCCCTGTTGCCAAAATTTGGTCTAGTAACTGTAAATGCCATACAGATCTATGGTCAGAAAACAAAAGGTATGTTGGCTGAAAGTCTCTTTGAATCTTCCCATGCCAACCAAAAGAGACTTTTGGTGGGTAAATGGTTCTCATCTGATGTTTTCCTGGATCTTCCTCTTACAGAAGGCTCCTGTTCTCTGTTCATGTTTTTTTTCTCTGCACAGCTCCTTGTATATGCTCTCAACAGGGCTCTCTGCTTCCCCTCTTTCTGGCCCTGCCCCAAGGACAGGTAAGGTTATTTGAGCAAATTGGTTTATTGGTGCCTTGTTCCATGGGGCTTCATCTTCCACAAGGACCCTGGAGTGAGACCTCCAGGAGAGTTAATACTTCTTCATAAAATGCCCTGGGATTTATGGCAGCTGAGGCAGTTTTGTCAGTTCTCTGCAATACTGTTCACTGAAGGATTCGGAAAAAAACATCCTGACAGATCCCTGATGAGTTATTTCAAAGCATAAACCACCAAGTGCTAATTTAGGGAAATAATTGGAGAAATAAATACAAATTAATTTTTTTTTCCTTTTAATTTAGATTTCAGCACTTAAACCTCCCACTTTCTTCTGTTTGAAGTAGAAGTTAAAAGCTTTTTTCAAAACTTAGTTCTCCAAGCCACATATTGTGTGGAGAATAAAAGGTTTTAAATTGTGGTCCTAGAAGAGAGGCCCTGGCAAGCTGCCTGTATGTTGATGAGCAGATCTCAAATATTTGTGCTTTGGATTTGGCTCATTAAACTTCTCTAAACATGGATGCTTATCCCAGCCCTCGAAGCTGGAGAAAACTGATGGATGCATTCAAAAGGTGGCAATAGGAATGTCTTTGTACATTAAGCTTTTGAGATATTTCATTTTTTTTTCTCCAAAGAATTTGGAGGGTTGAGACTTCTAGTTATTTGGTGCTATAAATGACTAATTTGAATAATGCAGGCAACCTAATAACCTTTTTTTATTATTTGAAAGGTTAATCTGCACCTGAAACCAATGTGGCTTTAATGATTTACCTGCTTGTGCCACTGGTATATCAGTCATGAGTATTTTGAACGTGTCCTGTTGCTTCAATAATCAGAGTTTCTCTGGCTGTGTGTCTAGGTGTTCTGGAGATGTACATACATAGTGACATAGATGGATGGAAGGGGGTTTGTTTGCTTCCTGGTAGAAAGTAACTTTTCCAAAATCAGTGTGGGTTGAACATAAACATGTTCTGGGTGTGTTTTTTCCAGCGCTGGATTAAGCACTGCCAATAGCTCCAGCTGGGCATGACATTTTAACAGGGCTGGATCGTCATTCAGGGTTTTTTTTCTTTTTAATTATAGTCAATGCAGTGAACTGCAGACAGGGATGACCCAAGATGTGGTGGAACCACTTGATATGTGAGGAATGTTTGACAGCCCTGTGACCTCATCAGCCTCAGAAGGACCCCTGCTCCACCACGGGCATCTCATCAGCATCTCATCTCATCTCCAAGTCCTCTACCAGTGGTACCCTGCGCCCGGAGTATGACCTCCTACAGCTGCAAAACCTAGGTCTGGGTGGGAATGATTCAGAAGCAGGGACAAAGGAGGGGGGGAATAAAGATTTTTGAGCTCTCAAATGTGATATGTGGCTGGGAAAAACAACCTGCAAATGCCTTCACCGAGTCCAGCGCAGTGGGAAGGCTTCTGCTGGCGCACGTGTTTGCTCAGGGCTGGCATCTCCCTGTGGGTGCTCCCAGCCAGTAGGGCTTTTACCATCATCCTGATGGAAACAGCTGATCAGGAAGCTTTTTCAGAAGGAGAGTGGGAAGGGAATGCTGTGCCATGGCCTGACCCGAGCAGCTGGGAGAGCTGACAGCAGGTCAGGGGAGGATCTGCATAAAATGCCCTTGAGAGTGTTTTTTAGAGCTGAGTGAGTTTCCCACTTTTCGAGGTTGCAGGCTGGAATCAGGAGCAGACGTGTTTCAAGGCTTGTAGACCCATTTTCATCATGAGTTTACTTTGTGGATAGGCTACTTAAAAGTTCTTTTTGTCATGAAAGTCGTGAGATCTCAAAGACTCGGTATTAATTCTAAAGTAAGGGGTCATTAACTTTGCTGTCTCCCCATCCTGATACTTGATGATGGCTGTTTACTGGCCTGCAAGGGAGGAGTTGAGGGTGACAGTCTAGTTTCTGGAGTCCTTTGGTGTTAAATTAACTAAAATTTTCACCTGAGATGATTATGTGGGTCTGGATGTTCAGTCTAACACTTTTAGCCCTGTACTGTGGAAAAGTGTGTGGAGATAAGATAAAACCAGGGTACTCTCAGCAAGTGTACTCAAAGCGAAATCTTTATTTTAGCTACTTTTCCAAACAGCTGTGGATAGGTGAGGTGCAGCACTGAAGAAGTTTGCTTAACAAGAATTTTTCATGTATCCTTCATAGAAAGGGTTTGGGAAAGGAGGAACTGGGGAAAACGATGTTTCTTGCTGCTGCATGTACCTTTCTGCTGTTATGTCAATATTTTTTTTTAGGAAAAAAGAAACAAAATCCTCTAAAATGTCACTGCTTGCAGTAAAGCGCCTTTTCTTTCCAGTTTTCTTCACTTTCCAGAAATGAGGATGCTATAAGATGGTAATTTTCAAACACAGGCACGGCCTCAAATTCCAGCCTGGCAATGAGCACTCTGACATTGAATCCTAAGGCAGGGCCCACCACTTTCCTTAAAATGGGAAATACAGACATTCCCAGCCATGCTGGATGCTATCGTGTGAGCAGTATTGCAGCACAGAAGTCTAGCAAAGTTGTAGCACGTGGCTACAGCTGTCCTTTAGTCTGTGTGCCTGTGAAAGAGCTTTGCCAGATTGATATGGTGTTATTTATCTAATTCTAGCACTCTGCTCTCAGAATATAACATTACATGAAATGGAACAAAAATGTAATTTAGGGTAAATGTACTGTGCAAAATATTGTTCTTAACACTGGTGTGTTCTTGCCTACCTGAGTGGAGCAGAGTTGGTGTAGGGGCTGCTGAGTGTGGGCTCTTGTTAGCAATATTGCACACTGCAAAGGCACCCAGGTGCTGGTGTAGGAGTGATGACATTCCTTGACTAGTACCCAGATAACTGGTATCTGAAGATGATCCTTAGATATAATTAAAATGATTTCTCTAAAGCAGAGCAAAGAAGTTATATTTTTACTGCCAACTTGGCAAACTCTGTAGGGACGTTACTGTGGATCTACACAGGGCTGCAGAACTGGAGTCTTCTGCATGCATCTTTTCCAGGGCACATAAGGGCTGAAGCCTTCTCAGTACTTGTGTATCTTGTTTTGCCTTGAAACAGCCACCTTCATCCACACAGATGCCCTCGTCATGGACAGACAACCCTGTCAGGAGGCCTGTAATCCTTCCAAGTAGAACTAGATATATGCATTTCTAAGAGGGAAGACACTAATGTATCTACCAAAGCTTTGAGCCTAAAGCTGATGAGTGGCTACTCTACAGCTGGCTTGATTAAATGGCCATTGAAGATGATGTAAACATCAGACTCCTCACTATAGATGGCATTTTCTCGCTCCCGCTTGAACATCCTCACCCAGACCTCCTCTCCTTCCTGCAGGTCCAGCATCAGGCTCTGGCTCTGCATGATGCTCCGATCGCTGGGCTGGGCATAGAGGATGGCCACCTCTTTCTCGTTCTTCATCAAGTGCAGGTAGGTCTCCTTGAAGTTCCAGGTATGGACATTGAGGCTGAAGTAGTAGATTCCTGCCACGTAGCAGAAGAACTTCCCTGAGAACATGTTGAAGTGCTTGTAGAGGTTCACAAACTCGGTGTCAAAAGTGACGTGCTGGAAGTAGTCTGAGCTGTGAAGGGTTTTTTTCCGACCCACCGAGAAAGCAGCGTAGAGCTGCTTACAGGAATGGCCTTGTGGGCCAGGCTGGCCTTTTTGTCCTTTCCGTCCATTAAAGCCACGTAGCCCTCTTTCTCCTTCCTTCCCAACTGCTCCAGGGTACCCTTTCTCTCCCATTTCACCCTTCTCACCTGTGAGCATAAAGGAAAACCTGGTCAAACACAAGCATGCGAAGCCCAACCTGCAGATACATCCTTGCTGGAGGCAACCAGCAAAGCAGCTACTGAAACACTGTTTTTTGAGCACAAATATCTACAAGAGTTGGTCAGACACCAGCGCCCTCCTAATTCTCACAAGGATAAAATTGCCAGGTGAAATCTTGGTGCCAATGGTCAATGTCCAACAGTGGAACTCCATGGCCTGACCAGACCGGTTCCATGAATCCAGTATTGATGAACTCAGCCCCTTCGTGCAGTGGTTTGGGCAAGAAAAGTTACCGATTTTGCGGAGGTTTGATTTGGGTCTGGGAGACGTGCTTGGGTTTGTCCGGTCTGTGTATCCCTGCTCTCAGGACTCCCTGCCATGTCTCCTGTCTCACAGGTTTAATTTTTGTTTGCCTGCCTTACCGAGGCCAAAAATGTGCAACGGAAAAAGTGAGTGAGCATCTTGCCTAGTTTCTAACTCTACTGTTTAGTAATTCTGTGATAACATTTGCATCTGGTTTTTAATGTGACCCAACTTGAACTTCCAGTGATTCTGTGGGTTTTTTTTTATGGATTAGAGCCTTTTTGACAACTCTTCTCACTTGCTCACACTTCCAGCCTGTGCCACGTCACCCCTTGACGTTCTTTTGGTTCAACAAAGTGAATGAGTTTCTCGACGTAGGGCGGAGCACAGCTTGCAAAATGAGGATGAGCGAGTAAGACAAAGGCTGTTATCACAGTAGTCACCTTTACCCACCTTTGAGGATGGTGATGTCTATAGTGGGCTGGACTTTGGGTACCGAATAGGCAGGGTCACTGCTCATCCTTGTGTATCTCGAGGAGACGATGGAGACAGGCTGCTCCGAAGGCCCACAGCATCGCACACACGAGAGGCGCCGCGCTTCCCGTCTCGGCAGACCCTTTTCCAGCACAGCACCAACATTCCCGATGGACACCAAGAGCAGGAGAAACACAGCACTCATCTTCGGCGGAGCCAGGTGGACCAAGCAAAGGAATAGAAATGATTAACATGGTGATTCAAATCAGAGCTTCTGATGGGCCATCTGTTAATTTTACCACAAGGTGCATTTCTTTGGATTAATTATTAGCTTATCTTGTAGTGTCACCAGGAGACTCCAGGTAGGAAGGGTGTCCCACCGTGCACTGTTTACAAACAATGGGAAAGGCAATCCCCCTGTCTCCATTACCTAAGGTTGCAATAGCTGACAAGAGACACCAGGTAAACAAAAGAAAACAAACACAAAACCCAGAACCAGCAGAGATGCTTAAAGCTGTTGTAGCAAGCTCTGCTCAAGGGACACTCGCTGCTTGGCTGCTGTTGGAACAGCCCTTGCAAAAGGGGCTGAGTAAAAGACACGAAGCATTGCTCTGCTGGCTACTGTTTCTTGCCTTGCTATTCTGAAAATCTCAAAATCTGATGCAGAAAAAGAAGCTTTATTTAAATATAGAGTCTAAACCTGATTTTTTTTTTTTTTTGAGGAAAAACCTGAAGGGAAATGAAACTAAAAGAAATCAAATGCATTTTATATCAATGTTCAGAGTCTGAATTTGATTTTCATTAAGGCTGTTTTAATTTTAGTTTTCTTCTTAAGCTGTCTTTGTGCTGCCAAACAACAACAAAACCACGATGCAAGTCTAAATGGACAGCAGGTCATAAATAACCAGCTCGTATGTGACCAGAACAAGCTGCACTGTGGAGAGCATTTGGGGTCCAGGTGATGTTTCTGGGGTCTCGTCTGCTGTGATTGAAGTTTGTGCATATACCCAAGGGTCTAAAGAAGACCCACTGAGAAACCAGGCACCAGGTGGGCCCTTTAGGGTGAGCTGAAATGGTCTCTGTTGATCTGGTTGAAGATGTCCCTGTTCATTGCAGGGGAGTTGGACTAGGTGACCTTTAAAGGTACCTTCCAACTCAAACCATTCCCTGATTCTATGTTCACTTAGAGTCCCAGGCAATCAGGGCTAATATATCCTCTTTGGGACTAAAAGCCATTTAGCCCTTCTCAGGAGTGTGGGTAGTCAATAACCCGGGAATAAAGGATAGGGCATTTGATTACATTATCGGATCATTAAAATGGGAGGGCCTAATTGCTCATAATACCTTCATGAAGGAGAAAGAGTATTCATTAAGAGGGGTATTCGTAATAGGCAGAAGAGAAAGGATTCATAAATATGAAGAAATGACTTTGTTTTTATAGGCCATTATTCTCCCGAGGATGAATGACCTCCCTATTTTTAGAAGTGACTTAAGGAGGAAAAAAAAATCTGGGTGAAAAATCAGTGTCCAGGTTGTGCACATCTCACATTACTGCAATCCAAGCACCCATCGAAGAAATCGTGGCCACTTGTATGATTCATGAAGAACAATTATTCAAGTTATTGCCTAGAAATTGCATTTGAGGGGAAAAAAAATGAAGCAAACAACGCAACAACCCAGTCAATTCAGGGCGTCTGAGAGCTGACACCTCCACACCACATTTTCCTTCAAAAAATTAGTGAAGTTCATTCACTAAAGTGGCAGAAACATGTATTTGCTTGCAATACTGGTGGTTAGGTGAAACCTTAATGATGTCTGTGAATAAATAGAGTTTTGGATTCGCAGTCTGTTCTTAACAGACAAGAAAGGACAGGAGAAGTAGTAAAACAGGAAAGAAGGTAGAAAGGAGTCTGAGAGGACTGCAAGAAAAGGGTGATGAGTTCAGCAGTATGGGATTATTAAATGTTTAAATAATGTTACGAAAGGGTGATGAGTTCAGCAGTATGGGATTATGTTTGGAAAATACCTAGCACAAAGCTAGAGACCAGGTGAAGGAAAGCCTCAAAACAGAGAAATCAAACCCGCGACATGGAAGGAAACAAACCCAGTAAGGATTTCCTTATAACAAGATCATGTCAATCTGGAGAAAAGAATGATTTGAGCCATATTTCAGAGGAGAAGCAAATATAGCTCCTGTAGTGGTGGGGGAGCCAAAACTGATGGCTTAAAAAAAAAAAAAAAAAAAAATACAAAAAGGATGAAGCTCAGAATTTAAGATCTGTGAGGTGAAGCGAGAGGTTGCTTTTAGCCATTTGTTTTTTCCCCTTCAAGATCATTATTGTGACCTTATTTTGTCAAATGTAGCGATGACGGATTTGACTTCAGCTGCACAGGTTTATCTTCTTGAGAAGACAGCAAGCAACAAACCCAGCTTT